AAGGGTAGGGTGTTATCGCGTGACACCAAGGTCGGGGACACTCTGTTGCGTCAGGGTGATCGTTTGGAACCATCCTGCCAACTCCCTCACACAATGGCATTTGAGAGTATTACCCAGTTTCCGTGTATAGTTCTATGTTGGAGATCTTAAAAACCTATCATGGCCAGCAGGAGGCACCCATTGTTCGTATTGTATATTGGCATTGGGCTAGACTGTATAGGGATTGACATCCTACACACGGTGCATCTTGGAGTGCTGCAAGACTATTTGGGGACTTCGATTTGGTACATGAGCGAAACTGATATGTTTAATTCTGGTGCAACAGCCCGACGAGAAAAAATGAGGCAAACATTGTTGTCCCTTACCGCAGGCCTTCACAAATGGTATCCCGAGTACACAAGGACCGCTCAGCACCTGAAACATTAGCCACCCACTATCTAGTGTTGTGTTTGAGGAGGGGGTCCAAATTGCATGTCGTGCGCACGCAGCATATGAATTTGGGACATATCATCTGGGGTCCTGGGGGAGGGGCGCAGAAAAAAGAGGTGACAATTGATTTTCGATCGGTCCCGAGGACACTGCCGCCCGAGAGGAGAGGAGGCATCACGCGTGTTGGACGCTTGGTGCCGAGTATGTTGGGGCAGTACGATGACCCGTCCTTGAGCCTCAAAGCTGCGGAACCGAAGCATGTTTTCCCATACGTGTTGAAGATGTTGAGGCAGTTCCGCGAGCGCTTGTTTGAAATAACTGGCGCGGGTGCTCTGATCCAGGCTGGCGAGGCCATTGAGACCTGGATGGGTACAGTCGCTGCACACACAAGGCTCCTACCGATAGCAGCGTCTGAGCTGTTGGTTCGGTGTTCACTGGCGCACAATCGTTTTGCTCAGCAGGCGGGAGTTCCAGTGAAACCCAAGCATCATGGATTCGTACATTGTTCCATTGACTCTGCATTCAAAGGGAACCCAAGGGCATATCATTCATATTCCGATGAAGGCTTACACAAAACAATTGTGCACATAGCCGCGCGTTGCCATAGACTTACCTTTGAGCGAAGATTGTTCGCCAAGTTTCACCTCGCCCAGACTGAACACGCACTGCCCAAAGAGATGTGGTTTTGAGCGGCGCCAGGAGCGTGAGCCTCCAAAAAGAAAAACAAATCCCCATCCCTGGCTGAACACATCTGGCCCAAAATGATCTCCGCAGTGTTTCATCTGGGTTACTTCCACTCCGATTCAGGTAACACGCCATAAGAATCGAGACATAGGTTATAGGGGGTATCGCACGATTCCCAAGATCTATGGACAAGCCTGCGGCACGCCACCGCCGAACCCCGCTCGAGACTTCAAGGACATAGTAAAAGCGGGGTCCCAGGTCCACCCCTGTCTTCCTCCTCCTCCTTCGCCTCCTCTTTCTCTTCTTGCTGCTGCTGCTGCTGCTGCTGCCGCTGCCTTCCTCCCTTTCCCCCAAGACCACTCGCCCTTGGTCCGAAATCGCATTTCAGAGAAGTTTGAACAATTCTGATCGTTTGCCGCCTCTCCCAATCTTCCTCCTCCTTCCCTTTCTCCCCCTCTTCATTCTCCTCCTCCTCCTCCTCCTCCTCCTCCTCCTCCTCCCCGTCCTCCTCCTCCCTCTTCTCCCCTCCTTTCCTCTTCCTTTTCCTCCTCCTCCTCCTCGAGGCTCCTCCTCCTCCTCCTCCTTCCCCTCTTCCTCCGACCCTCGATCGATCCCCGATCCTCGATATCCCTCCTCCTCCTCCTCCTCCTCCTCCTCCTCCTCCTCCTCCTCCTCCTCCTCCTCCCCCCCCCTTCCTCCTCCTCCTAGATTCGAATCGGCGTTGGACTGGATCCTAGCCCCGACTTTTTTGCTTGCATGCCGTAAACGTCGGGCCCGTAAGCCCGTCGATCAAGCTGATCGTGTGCGCGGCGGACAGCCGCGGCAAGAACGAATGGCACTCGTGCCGTTCAGACCGCGTTGTGTTCAAACGCGTTACGTCATGTTCAAAAACGAGCATGGCGATCATGATGCCATGTTCATTACAAATGAACATGGCACTCATGTCCGAAAAACGAACATCAGGGACCTCTGGGTAAGCTCCCTCTGGCCTGCAGGCCGCAGCCCCTGATCCAGACCGAGAGGTCTTCCGAGCCCGCGTGCACCGCCAATACGCGGCGCCGACAGTCGGCTCGAGGAGCAAGAGGAAGCAAAAGGGTGAAACACCAGTGCTGGCAGAACTATTCTCAACCCTCCTGCTGTGGGTTTTCGTTTTGAATAGGGCGCTCTGGTCTCCAATCATTCCGCCTCCTCCTCCTCCTTTTCCTCCCTCTTCCTTAGAGGCTTGGGGCATTGATGCCGTCACAAGTTCTTGGCTTGTCTTGCAGAACATGTTCGGTAGGGACTAGAAAATGACGGAGGACAGTACGAAAACTGCCCATACATGGAATTCACGCGCTGCCACGCCAGCTGGCGGAGCACGTGCAGAAGAAACGAGGAATGCCAGAGGACGGAGAGCAACCTGCCTTAGAACATAATACACGCGCTGTCACGCAGGGTGGCGGAATACTTGCAAGAACATCGAAGAAAGACGGACGAAGGAGGGAACACAGCCGTGATTTAAAATGCACGCGCTGACACGCCAGCTAGCGGAACACGTGCAGGACGAAGAAGCGGTAACGGAGCACCGAGAGAACACTGCCTTGAAATGGTATGCACGCGCTGTCACGCCGGCTGGCGGAGCACGTGCAGGAGGGACGAGGAAGGAAAGAGACAAGAGGCAGTGCACAAGAATCAGGAGTCCAGGGGGCGAGGCTCAGGCCTAAATCTCTCACCTGAGCCCTTCCTGCCGTGCTCGGTCCGGGGCCAATGTTCTAGCCAGCGCGCGGGACTCAAAGCCAGTCCTCTCCGGCCAGGGGTCGCGCTGGCTCTCGACAAGCCTTATGTTGTTTCCGTCCTACTTAAAGACCGCATCCCAGGAATCAGTTCGAGCACCCGGAAAAGTGTCAAAAGAGTGTCGAAATAATGTCCGAACAATGTCGGGCGAGTATCCCCCAGGGCCCGACACGTGAAAACCCTTGAGTTTCGGTACTTTTTTGGGGCGCTCGAAATTCTTCCTGGTGGTCAAGGCTAAAGTAAGTTGGAAAATCATAAGACAAGCCGCTCCTCCCAGCCCGTCGAGCTGGATCGGGAATCTATCCTCACTGATACGCTGGAAATGTAGAGCCATCGCGCGAGCTCAAATTCTACCTGTCCTGCAGGCTGGCGCATAGCTTAGGGCAATAATCGTCCGGGGCTCATGGGTATAATTAGCGAGCCTTTGAATATACCGCGGCTCGTCTAACAATTTGATTCTGAACAACTGGTCGGTACTCGGCCTGCCCTGCCCGGCGTTTCCCGGGACTCCACAACCTTGTGTCTCTACAGTGGCGCTCCTGCAAAAAAGGAGCTTCCCGACGACTCGAGCAGACAAAGTCCTCGACGAGTTGTTTACGCAACGGCTCTCGATTCAAGCTGCTGACAGTCCTACAGGAAGTGAGCTGGTGTTTAGATCCTGTCACAACTCAACTTGTGGCCAAAAATGCTGCGGTGAGCGCCGCAGGAAGAGAGCGCCGGCACACACACACGCGCCCCCCCCCAAACTCCACCTTCGTCAATTTCCGACTTCTCACCTCCACCCCCCCCTCCTCTTCCCAAAGCTCAAAACAGCGGACGTTGCCACAACTTTGGGACATCGGCTTGGCCCAAGCCGCTAGAACTACTCCTGCCGAGGAACTGCACAATTCAAGCGCGATGGGTGAGACACGCGACGCTCGGAAGGTAGGGCCCGCCAGCACGAGCTCTGCGAGCGAATATGCCCTGCCGCCGATGGCAGATGCTCCCAAGTGGCGGCCAGTGCCCACATCCCGACGCCACCACCACAATTACAGACCCACCATCCCTCTTCCACTCCTGGGCCCGAGCGAATGTGCGCCAAGAAATGACGCGACCAGTCCAGCACCAGCAGCAGACGGGCAGCTCAGCCCTGTCGCTCCCCACCGCGTCTGGCCGTGCACTGCACGAGAGCACGCCCGCTGTGCGCGCGCAACTGCGCGCTCTCAAGCACTGGCGCTCGCAGCGAGGCCCGTCGGCTGGTGGAGCCCGCTGCGCCAACTGTCAGCCCGATCCCCCGATCTGGCTTGGCTCTCCTGCCCTCCCGCCGCCCCAAGGGAGGCTCTTGCGCACCGCGACCGCGACGGGCAACTGATCGCAAAAACAAGCAGAGACACGCGATTGCCACAGCGCTCGCAATCTTTCTCTGAGCGGGTCCACCGCTCGTGAAGTGCGGCCGCGAATGCTTTCGCGCAAAAGAGAAGGTTTCGTGACATTTTCGCGCGTGCCTGGCGGCGGCAGGCAGCAAGCGCCAGAGACCTGGCGGCGCGCACAGGGGGGCAGCCAAACCCCCCTCCGCGCGTGGAAAACATATGGAATGCTCTGCAGATCTACGGAACACCCTACGTACTTGTCGTGAGAGCTCGACGGACAAATTAATATTGGACTACATAAATTCCCTGGTCGATCCCCTACTCGTCTCGCGGCTGCACGCACCGAGCGACAGAGATCTGGGAGCGCGATGTGGGAGCTGGCGTCCCTCTTGCCCTCGGCCAGCAGGGTCAGGGTGTCGTACACATCGTCTCGACCCCCAGGTGAGGCGGAGGGGGCGGGGGGCGGGAGGAGGGGGAGAGGAGGAGGAGGAGGAAGAGGAGGAAGAGGATGGACAAATGCCTTGTGTGCGCATCCCACATGGACGGCCGTCAACTGATGGTAAACAAAACTGAAGCCAGGCGCATCCGCAAGTGGTAACGGCAAAACGCGATTGCCTGGCGGTGAGCCGGAATGGACGTACCAGCAGGCACCGGATGCGACGGGCTGCGCGCCAGCGCTCCATCGGCCCTGGTGCCTGTAGATGATTGCGTGAAGACATCGAGGGGGGATATGAGGATCGGGGGTGGTCGAGGAGCGTCGAGGATCGAGGGAGAGCATCGAGGATCGATCGAGGGAGGATATGAGTCTAGCGCAAGCGAAGCGGACGGCTGCGGCAGTTCTGCCGGCTTCGGCGGCCCACGCCTGTCTAGGACGTGCTGGAGGCTGGTGTCCGACGCCACAAAGAGTGTGCCATTCAACCCTGAACAATCTCCGCCCTTGGAGGTCCTCAGGGAGGCTAGAACCTTGAGTTTGGGGGAGCGGGAGAGTAGGTCCCCTGGACCTGGATCTGGGGAGCAGCCCGAAACTCAGAGCCCCTGCTGAGCCCAATAAGCGGGGCTCACGTCAGCGCCCTCGCGGCAGCCGAGCCTCTGGGAGGGTGTAGGCGACACGAGGCGGCCGCAGTCTGCACGGGCGCGGGCCGCCCCATCACAGAGAGATCTTGGTGGAGGTGCTTTCCTGCTCGCCGCTCGAGCTGCCCGCCGCGTCGGGCGTGCCCGAGGGGGAGTCGTCGGGGTCCATGAGCTCCGCCTGGAAAGCTCTCATGAGCTTCCGCTGCGCGCGACGCCGCTGGGTCCTGGACATCTTCGTGCGGCGGTCTTCACCTTGCTGCGCGAGCTGCACCATCTTCTGCTGGGCGGCGCCTTCCACCATCAGACGGCGCACTCCAGGCTCCTGGTCCTCGAAGCAGTTGGACCCCTCCGAGGTTGAGGTGTCGGCGATCCTCTGCGAGGTCGAGTTGATTGAGACGCGATCGTCGGTGGGGTCCGAACTGGGGCGCCAGTCCAAGGTGACGTAGCCGATCCAGGGCGACCTGCAGTCCAGGAACGTGTTCTTGGTATTCATGCCGCTCGGCAGGGCCGCCGCGGATGTGGTAGTCATGCCGCTCGTCAAAAGGCCACCGAGCCTGATGAACGTGCGGTTCGAGCCAGGGCGGCCTTGAGCCTAAATGGCTTGAGCCAAAACGGCTACGGTCTTTCGGGGTGCCTCTTGGGGCGTCTTCGAAGCCTCTTTTGGTGTTTTGTCGAGTCTCATGGGGGCCTCTTGGGGCTTCTGGTCCCCTTCTTGCAGCCTCTTGGGGCCTCCTGGGGTCTCTTGGGCCAAAAGGCCCGAATTGCACGTTCCTCGTCCCCGTCTTGGGCGTCGCCTTGGGGCGTTCTTGGGCAGTTTGGGCGCGTCGCAGGCCGTCTTGGCCCCCTCGTGGGCCGTCTTGGGGCCCTCTTGGGGGCATCCTCGACCGGCTTGAGTGCCTCTGGGGCCGTCTTGGACGCAGTGGACGCCCGCCCAAAAGGCAAACACGCCAAAAATAGCAGTTTTCCCATAAGAGAATCGACGATTTCTGCTTATTCGGCCACTCTCGGGGTGCCTCTTGGGGCGTCTTCGGGGCCTTCGGGGGCCTTCTTGGCGTCATGGGAGTCGTCTTGAAAGGCGTGGAGCCATCGCTGTGGCCTCCTGGGGCCTCCCTGCAGCCTCTTGGGGCCCTGTTGGCCCTGGGTCGCCGAAACCCCGTAAAAAACACACAGGTAAAACGACGCCCGGGCCCACATTTGCGGTCGTGGTCGTGGCCCCCGGCCCCCGGACCAGGCCCCCCGTTATATGTATACATCCGCCACCGTGCCTCGAGGCACGAGGTGGAGTACCCTCAGGTTTGTATGGGTTCCCTTTCTGTACTCAGGACTCTGGGATCATAATCTTCGAAGGGCTGAAGCCCCAGCTTCTCAAATTTCCCGGGCGCTCCCGCGCGTTTCTGGACTGCCCCGCGTGACTTTTCAGAGGCCAGAGGGCCGCAAGACGGGCCAAGAGTTCCCCAGAAAGCGCCCAAGAGGATGCAAGAGCCACCAAGACAGCCCGAGCGCGCTTCAAGACGCCCAAGATGGCCCCAAGAGGCCCCAAAGAAGCCCAAACAGCGCTCCAAAAGGACCCCTAAGAGGGCCCAAAGAGGCAGTAATGATTGACTTCCCTTGTGTGTGTGTGTGTGTGTTTCGATGTATTTCGCGTGCGTGCTCGCGTTTTCGGGCTTCCGACGCTCCAAGATGGCCCTAGAGGCCCCCAAGACCGCCCCAAGACGGCCCCAGAGGCCTCCAAGACGGCTCCCAGGAGGCCCCAAGAGGCCCGCAAGAGAGCCCAAGAGGCCCCCCAGAAGCCCCATGAGGCTCCCAAGAGGCCCCAAAAGACGCTCCAAGGGGCCCCCAAACAACACCCGAGAGGCCTCAAAACTGTCACCAAGAGGCTCCCGTGAGGCCTCCCACGATATCTAAACGAACATCCAAGGGGCCTCTAACCTCTAACCCACAACCCAAGCACGGTGGCGCAATGGGCCGAAGACCACTATATCCGCCGCCCCCTGCTTGCAGGGGTGCACGGCGTGCTGGACGAGCTGTTAGGTTTTGGTTTTGGTTCTTTTTCCAAAAGAACTCCCCAGTGGGCTCCGGCAGAACCCGCCACCGTGCGCAAAAACGGCCGTTTCGCTCGGGACATCCTCAAACAATCGCGAAGATGGCCCAAGATGGCCTCCAAGTCCGCCCGAGATGGTCCAAGACGGCCTCCAAAACGGCCCAAGAGAGTCCAAGACGGCCCAAGACGGCCCAAGAGGCCCCCCAGAGGCCTCCCAGACGGCCCAAGAGGCCTCCAAGAGGTCCTCCAGGAGAGTCCGAAGAGGCCAAAATCATTGATTTTCCCTTGGTTTTTGAAGGATTTTGGCATTTGCGCCTTTTCGGCTCTCCGACGGCTCAAGACGGCCCAAGAAGCCCCCAAGATCGCCCAAGAGGCCCCCAAGAGAGCCCCCTGATGGCCCAAGTGGCCTCCAAGATGGCCCCTAGAGGGCCCCAAGACGGCCCAAGAGGCCTCCAACACGCCCAAGATGGCCTCCAAGACGCCCAAGATGGCCTCCAAGACGGCCCTGGAGCGCCCCAAGAGGGTCCCCCGTTGGCCCAGACAGGCCCCCAAAACGGCTCCCGACGGCGTCAGACGTGCCAGGAACCCACCAAGATGGCCGAAGTTGGCTCGAAGCTGGCCCAAAAGGGCCCAAGAGGCCCCCAAGAGGGCCTCCAGGAAGGCCAAAAGATGCCAAAATCACTGATTTTCCCAAGGTTTTTGATGGATTTGGGCATTTCCCTTCTTTCGGCCTTCCGACGGCCCGAGACGGCCCAAGAGCCCCCAAAGATCGCCGAAAGATCGCCCAAGAGGCCTCCAAGACGGCGACGATGACCATCAAGACGCCCACGTGTTCCCCGAAGGCTTTCCAAACCGATTCGGGGAACACATGGTCCGATGGCTTGGCAGGTCTGGCCTCAACGTTCGGCCACATAGGCGCTTCCACAAAGGCAGGGGGCGGCGGTGATTCGCCGTAGGCGTCTTCGATCCGCCGCCCCCTGCTTGCAGGGGTGCACGGCGTGCTGGACGAGCTGTTAGGTTTTGGTTTTGGTTCTTTTTCCAAAAGAACTCCCCAGTGGGCTCCGGCAGAACCCGCCACGTGCGCAAAAACGGCCGTTTCGCTCGGGACATCCTCAAAAAATCGCGAAGATGGCCCAAGATGGCCTCCAAGTCCGCCCGAGATGGTCCAAGACGGCCTCCAAAACGGCCCAAGAGAGTCCAAGACGGCCCAAGACGGCCCAAGAGGCCCCCCAGAGGCCTCCCAGACGGCCCAAGAGGCCTCCAAGAGGTCCTCCAGGAGAGTCCGAAGAGGGCAAAATCATTGATTTTCCATTGGTTTTTGAAGGATTTTGGCATTTGCGCCTTTTCGGCTCTCCGACGGCTCAAGACGGCCCAAGAAGCCCCCAAGATCGCCCAAGAGGCCCCCAAGAGAGCCCCCTGATGGCCCAAGTGGCCTCCAAGATGGCCCCTAGAGGGCCCCAAGACGGCCCAAGAGGCCTCCAACACGCCCAAGATGGCCTCCAAGACGCCCAAGATGGCCTCCAAGACGGCCCTGGAGCGCCCCAAGAGGGTCCCCCGTTGGCCCAGAAAGGCCCCCAAAACGGCTCCCGACGGCGTCAGACGTGCCAGGAACCCACCAAGATGGCCGAAGTTGGCTCGAAGCTGGCCCAAAAGGGCCCAAGAGGCCCCCAAGAGGGCCTCCAGGAAGCCACAAAGATGCCAAAATCACTGATTTTCCCAAGGTTTTTGATGGATTTGGGCATTTCCCTTCTTTCGGCCTTCCGACGGCCCGAGACGGCCCAAGAGCCCCCAAAGATCGCCGAAAGATCGCCCAAGAGGCCTCCAAGACGACGACGATGACCATCAAGACGCCCACGTGTTCCCCGAAGGCTTTCCAAACCGATTCGGGGAACACATGGTCCGATGGCTTGGCAGGTCTGGCCTCAACGTTCGGCCACATAGGCGCTTCCACAAAGGCAGGGGGCGGCGGTGATTCGCCGTAGGCGTCTTCGATATATATATATATATATATATATATATATATATATATAGGTGTGTGTGTGTGAACTATGTATGTGTGTACATGCATGCGGGCGTTACAACAACGCCCTAGCTCCAATATGATTCGCAGAAATCGTTTTGGAAAGAGGGCCGGACTTACACCAGGCGACTTTGTCAAGGTGAAGATGGCGCCCATAACTAGAATCGAGCGAAGCTCCTCATCCCCCATTCCCCCATCTCCCCCGTTTCCCCCAAACTATAATTTCTCCCCCTCCTCAGCTGTCGTGCCAGGGCTGCCCGCCTTGGCACGACGGCGAAGGGAGCCCTGTCGTGACCAACATCTTGTTCCATCGCTCGGGACTACTGAGGCAGAGGATCAGGGACGAGGAATAGTAGCAGCAATGGCAACAACAACAGCGCTGGTAGTAGCACATGCGGTGTTCGGATAGCGGCATCGCTGTGGAGAAGTAGCAGTGGCAATGTTTAGCAGAAGTGAGAATTGCGGTGCTAGCATCGCATCGTACTTATTAGGGATACTGGCAACAACAATGCTAATTTTCGAACAACCTGTCATCGTACTTCCCAATTTACCTTTGGTGTTGGGCCCTCGTCTTGAAGAGACAACGCCCGCGTCTGTCCCCCCACGATGTCAGCTCAGGATGAGATGCTGCCCTTTTCCTCGAGCCCGTCCGAGCAATGTCCCAAGGCCACCAGCGGAGGTCAGCCAGGATATCAGGGGGAAGGTGGGATAGATTGGAAGGTAACTGGGATTGACAGAGAGGGGCTGTGAGGGACGTACGGCTTGAGCCAAAATGGGTACGGACGTCGCACCCCTCTCTGTATGTTCAAGCACATAGGCAAACGACGGAGGACACAACTGCAAATCAATGAGCCGTTGGCGCTCATTCCCACAGTCCCCCGAAAAATAATGGGCTTGAACAGAGGTGCAACATCCATGACCCATCTGGCATTCTTCAAACGATTCATGCTAGCAGTGCTGGCGCTGGTGAGCATTTTGGACACCGTCCTCGTGGCTAGGCAGAGTGGTTGGACTGAGCAAGGGTCCACACTCCTGCGTCCAATCGCACGCACTCTGGCCACCTGGTGTTCCCCGCGGGGGCAGTCACCGGCACTACGAGAACACTTGGACAGGGAAACTGCGCTCCAAAACTACGCGAAGAGAAACTCTTGCCACACCAGTGCCTTGAAAAGGGAGGGGTGAAAGAGGCGAGACAGAGGGCAGAAATCACTGCAGCTGTCGCCTGGACTCGGCTCTGGATCGGTTCTTGACCTGGGGGTCGTCCCTGCGATCTTTTAGGGAATCTTCTTCGGATCTGAGCCTAAGCATGCCCGACTTGAGCAGAGCGAGTTGGGCGGCATTCGTCTTGGCCAGATCGGCCTTGGTGAGGCAATCCACGGGCATGTGGGGATGTGGTACCCACCTGATCGCGCTCCCTATCCGATCCACGGTCTCCCTGACGACGGCTAGATCTATGGCGGCCCTCCTATCCGACTTGGTCCCCGACGTGAGTTTCGAGAGGGTGTCATAGATCCCCTTCGCATCTACGACGCTGACGTTGCCCGTCACCGGCTCTCCAAGCACGGTGCAG